CAAAGGGTAATTTGGGTATTTCTTGTACCGTTGTCAAATATATGTTGTGCTAATAACCAATAAATTGAAAGTACAATGGTATAAATAGGTGGATTTTCTATGTACAATGTATGAATAAGAAATGAAGTGGAACTGTCAATGGTGCAGCTGTATATTCAGATTTAAAATGAGCTGCTTCACCATCCTTGATCATATGCAGACATCTGAAATACTCTTTGTTGCACTATATGGTGCCACGAAATTGTCTTTGTAATAAAAAGATGCACCATTTTATCATTACCAACAACCATAATCAGACTACAAGATTAATTTTTCTGGGTTTTGAGAATCTTGGTTATTGGTCATGAATTCTAGAATGTGATAATTTATAGGCAGTAGTGTGTAACAATGGGGTCAACATGGAAAATAGAGATGCAACCTTCAATTGCTTCATAAAATTGTTCTTGTTTTGTTAATATAAGTTTCAAACAAATAAAGCCTATCTTCTTCAAATTGGAAACCACTCAAAATAACCAACTTGGATTTATCACCTGCCATGCATATATATTAAATTTAGAGAAAATCACAAAAAATGATGATAAAAAAAACTACAAAAAAAAAACGAAACAAAACCACTGTGAAATTAGGCATCAAAAACATTATTTAGAGGAAAAACAAGAATTCAGTTGCATACTTAACTTCGAGCCTTTAGATGATAATTTTCGAGAGCGGGGACCGACATGATAGAATCCATGGCTTTTTATTAAAACAAAAGTGATACTGATACATAGGTTATGTATAATTAAATTAATACATAACAACACATAAGAGAAAGATTTAATGTAATTAGAACCAAGGGCGGACGCAGGATTTCATGGTAGGGGTGTCACGAGAAATTTTAGTAGTGTCATGCTAGGAGGAAAAAAAATTCGAACATTTTTGCACTTCGTCCGAAAAAGTCGGGGGTTGCCGGTGCCACTACGGGGACCATAGTAAAACCGCCCCTGATTAAAACCTATTAAAATGACAACTTCCTACATATTTTATAATGTCTTTTGGATGTTGCCATAAATTTTAGCTACCACATGAGCATAAAGTGTTTTTCAACTATTAATACCAGCACATATGGGTGCAAAGTGCCATAATTAAACGGATGGGGTTGTTTTTGTTAAAAAAAAGTGATTAAAACAATGATACAATCTCCTTCAATAGTAAAACATGACTTAAATAAAGTGTAAACAAGGCAAGTCCATGATACATCCAACTGATTACAAAAGATGTATAACTTTTTTGCAACTAAATATAAGGGCCAATTTCCTTTTATCTTAAGTACAAAAAAAAACATACACTAACTTACATCATTAAACACATGAAATTAATAGGCAAGAAATACATAATCAATTAGCGTTCTTGCAATTAGGAGAACATCCTTTAATGCATAAGAGAAGGATATTGGCAAGAAATATATCCCAAACCCTGAATGTTTCTAAAGATAAAACTGCACAAAACCATAGCAGACAAACAATAACAAGAAACTTGAGTAATTTTCCACTGAACACAAAAAGAAACCCACCAAGATCAGATAGCATTCACCTTGTTTTTTACTGAAATAAAATCATGAAACTTGAGTAATTTTCCAGGCAATTGAAATTACTTGGTCACATCTTTTTTCTCCACATTACTAAATTTCTTTAGATGGAAGGTCTTGCCAGTAAAATATTCCCAATTTCTACAAGAACTTAAGGGAAAAAAAATCAATCGTTTTCCTTAATTATTTCCGAACTGTGGGTTCCAATTTAACGTAAATATCATCAGTGTTATAACAACCACTAAGAATAATTTTTTGTCTAGCTCGAGCAGTGATTTTTTTTATCATCAGACAGTGATCTATTGTCTGGAATGATGGAGAGTAAATTAGAACCAGGTGAATACATGCCCGTTAATCCACATGAGAAGTTGATGTAAGATAGGGATTGGTGGTGGTACAAAGGGGAATGGGATCTTGAGTGGAACAAAAATACAAAACCTCATACTAATACGCTTCAATAGCATAAATAAATGGCCCAAAACTAATAGCCTTAAGCATCCTTACAGGAATCTGAATCTTGATAGGGCTGATTATCATGGGGCATTCCTCTTCGTTTATCCTGCATAAACAAATCATAACATAGGTTGAAGAAGTAGATGGCGCTGCTACTGCCGTAAATGCAAAGGATAACTTACGGAAGAAATTGGAACTGAAGAATTAAATGTTTACCTTTTGCAATAAAATCCTTGTTCTTCAAATTAAAAATCCCTAATTTCCAAAAAATCACATTAAGATGAAGATGCCAGACGATTTTTCTGGAGTCATTGTTAGGTTTCCTTTTCCTAAATATCTATCTAACTGCAAATCCATCAAAAAACCACTGATAACCTCCATCGACGATGTGTTTGTAAAGAGAGAAAGAGGAAAGAAATTAGCGTTGTCATCAAATTCGCCGTCTCTAATCTTCCTTAAAAGTGGGACAAATTCAACGTTTGAGATTGTAAATGAATACTGAATGTTTGTGTTACCGAATGTTTTTTCACTAAATTGGTGGCCACTTTGGATCGCAAAAAATCATGACGACGAAACCATAGCGATAAAGCGTGCCCTAACTTCTTTCGTTGAATTTGGTAGATGGAACGTAGGATATGTGAAGAATGTGTGATGAAACGTATATGAGGAATTGAAACTACAAACGCTATGTGATGAATCGATACAAGACCTTTGAGGAGGCGGTGTGAAATGATGTCCATCGCGTCGTTTAGACGGTAGATTACGCGGCTTGAAGGAACGTTTTTGTGGTACGATTGCATCGTTCAGAAAACAGGCTACGTGGCGTGAAAGAAACCTAACAAATTTGATTTTTGAGGCATGATAAAATATATATATATATATATATATATATATATATATATATATATATATATATATATATATATATATATAGGCAGTGGTGAACGTCTAGAAACATTTCACAGCCCCCAATAACACATGTCCTAGAATGTAATTCATCAAAATCATTTCCCAAATGCTCTAAGCTTCAATTGATGTATAAGGTAAGTTTATCAGTTACCCCTTTGTTACAGACATCCTGTTGAACATGAGACTTGGATCTCAGTCAATCTCATTTGGTGTTCAACTTTTGGTAACAGACGTTAGATGTCTATATCTCAACATATAAGAGGAAAAAAAATCTCATCTTAACTATATAAGCCTCTTGCATAGTTCACACCATACCAGAAAATATCTTTTATAACTGCCCAGTTTAGGATCAACATTTGACCATATCTAAGCACAACACTCCCAAGACTTAAGTCTCACTATATATCTCAGGTGTTAAGGATACAAAGATAGTGCCTTTTAATCAAGTATCACTCATAACTGCGATCTATGAGTTGATCTTGATGCGGGTCCGTTTAATACTAGTTCTCTGACAAGTACCTATGAAACTTGGTTACAACCACCTTCCTACTTTCATCTAGTGAGAGTCAACCAATCCAATTTTTATTAGTCTTACTTCATAATTTCTCACATAATTACAATCGACTATGAACTTTTAGAATAATAAGAGTATTCATGGATTAAACATGTTAATATAGAACACAACAAGTATACTCTCGAATAATGAAGTCCTACAACTGAAGTGTGATCACTCATACTTAGCTTAAAAGGAAAGATAGGTCCGACTAAATTTAATTTGTGTGAATTCTATGAATACTATGATCTTCATATTTCACTTTACTCTAAGTATAGTTAAATATCTTGGAGAATATGATTTGTGTTCTTCCTTGACAGCGAGTCTCTTAGCTTCATTAAGTATACTCTCGAAGTCATGAAGATTTCTATGTGATCCTTGAATAGCTGAAATCAACATAGTTTTTCAATGAACTGATTCATCCAATCATATTTTATTTCAACTTCTAAAGTAGTAGTGTATTCTTACTTCGTAGATTGTGACATTATGTTTTTCTTGGACCCCATTCTTAGAAAACTTACTCCTCGTTCCTTAATGAAGTCATAATCCACCTATAATTCATAATCACAGATACCAGTTTTGAAGTTAGCTTTTTATGTAGCTCTTTACGTAAAGATCTTCTTCTAAAATGATTATCTCATGTACATTCTCTTAGCTCTTCTTAAGTACTCTTTGAATGTTCTTATAGTTTTCCAGTGACTTAACCATGTATCCATTTTGTTTCTCACGATATGTTCATACCATAATCATATACCCAGTCTTGTGCAAAATATGACATAAATGATGTATTCATTTTCCAAGCAAATAGAATATAAATAATTTTATCTCGCTCAAACCTATGTGCTAGGTCCTTTTGAGACAAAATCAAAATGGTGTCAAGTGACAATGCCAAGAATCCTCCAAGGAATCTTGTATCTTGACCTTTTTCAAGATATTGTTAATTTATGCAAAAGAATTCAAAATTTTCAACATTCATCTTTATCTATCATTATAGATTTTACATTCCAAGAATGTATTTTTTCATTCGTAAGTCTTTCATTTTAGAAACACCTTCCGACTCAAGGTGAAACGACCTTTCATAGTCGGAATATGATTTTGAATGATTAACTATGTCTCATTCGTATAATATTAGGAATATCACTATCCCCCACTAGTTCTTAGTAAACACACATGCTATTTTTATTTTGATATATAAGCATAGCTTTTATCTTCGTATTAAAATGTCTATTCCAGCCTTGGGATGATTGCTTTATAACTGCAAGTGGATATTAAGCTTTAAACATTTTGTTAGGATAACATGGATTAAGAAAATCTTGAGGCTAAGCTATATAAATACCTTCTAGTAGATGTCTATTAAGAAAAATAGTTTTTCTTGAAATCTATTTTTCATATCTCATATTAAGAATATGTAGTTATTATAAATAATATCCTTGTTGATCAAATCAAGGCTACTTCTGAAAAAGTTTGATCATAGTCATTGTCAAAAGTATGATAAAGACCATTGTAATAACATGAGTATGAGAAAATCCTTTTCAGGAAAGCCTTAAATGTGTATGATATCTATGTACGTATTCTTTCTAAAAGAATCTGTTACTCATTCTAGCCTTGCTATAGAGAGGAAGATTAATCAAGCCCATACTTGATTATTATACATGGATTACATCTTAATGTTCATAGCTCAAAGTTATTAACCAAATTTAAGATATGATATAGCATTTTGGTATTTTGATGGATGTACCAGAAACCATCAAGAGAACCCATCAATGAGAGATTCCATATTTCTCAAGTCAGAGATTATTTCAACCAATAATGCGAAGAATTTGTGTTTGTAAATAGATATTATTCAAGTTCAAAAATTCCTTATTGAAACTAGTGCAAAAAATTGCTACATCAGGATATGGTTCTTGAGCTTCTTCAAGTTCCATGTGCCTCCCACTTGCTTTGTCATTATAAGCTTGATTTCTGGTAACTTAGCTTTCAGAGGAATAAGAGAACTTATCCTTGGTGGGTTTGTATATAATAATCTAAATACTCTTTTAGAATATTCTATAGACATGTAATTTGTTGGTTTTTGTATTTGATGCACCTCCAGGTTCACCTTCCATTATTCGTAGGGATTATCGACTTCCTGACTGTAAAGTTAACCTGAATACAACAAACAATTCGTAAGTTGATTGGCTGGGAGGGGGTCTCGGACCAAAGCTCCAATGATAAAGTCAGTAAAGACCCTAAGAGAGGAATTCTGTAATGGGTTTCAAATGAAGGTTGATAGACTAGTGTGTATTGTTTTTGTACCTGATAAAATGACTTTCATTCTTTATTTAGAGTCAAGATGAAGAAGTGATGGCATCTTAATGTACCGAGCAGGCCTGCCATCTTGTTGCATTAATGGTCGTACGCTCGAAGGTACATTATGTGTACTTGTTAGTTGTTTCTCGTTAATCAAAGGATATATCAGTCACTTATCATAATACAAGATATTTTCTAAGAGTTCAAATGTAGTATAACACTATTTTGACGTCAATTCATATATTGATCGTTGTTTTCTATGGTTTGGTATTCACACATAGTTCGGTACATCCCTAGTTCAGCATATACTTGGTTCGATACATACTTGGCTTGGTATATACTTAGTTTCGTATGGTGAGGGTATACTCGTAGCCTCGAGCTAGGCTATACCCTATTAAGTCCAACCAGTTTGGATCATTACTCTTCTATCAATAGTAATTATTCAAAATTTAAAGAGTTGTGCAAAGTAACCGTTGTAATAGGGATAGGCACCTGAAATAATCTTTGATGTGACTGTTCGGCGGATTATAGTGTTTATCATTTTCTATAACCGTCTCTTCACCTTTTTTCCATTTAAATCAGGTTTGCGGTTACTGGCGTTCGACTTTTTGATGACGGTGTTATATTATTATCAACTTCACATTGCTCAGATCACTCCTAATGGATTTCGAAAAATCATCTGCTTCGTCATGTTGTGCTCTTCTTTGAATGTGGTGCCTTCTGTTACCCTATTTCGTTACTTTTATGTGACCATGTCTAATGGTATTTGGGTGTCCTTTTCTCTCCACCATGGTTTGATAGAGCTGTGACGACCTTCCTACTTACATTAAGTATTGGAAGGAGGAATTTTCTTCGTTCGTGCTTCCAATCTTCTTGGTCGAATGTTTTATGGTGCCACCTCTGACAGAGCCACTGATCCCTAATAGGAAAACTCTAGAAACTCTAATTTGAAATAATATAATATTATTTCAAATCCGGAATTATCTAGTTTCCTAATTATCAATAAGGAATATCCCAAAAACCCTAAAAATCCTTCTTAATTTCGTTCAAGGGGTTAGAAGGTTCTGGAATACCTTCTTGTTCAATTATTGAAGAATTACAACTTCAGTCCTTACACTTTTAATTAATCCAATTAATCCCAAAATTAATTCTAATTAATTATTAATTAAATAATACTCTTTCTAATTAATATAATAATCTAATAATATATTAACAAATCATTTATTTCAACTTCTAATTAATTTATTAATCATATAATAAATTAACAAATCAACCTCTTCCTCCAAAGGTGGAAGGGAATCATTATCAAAATGTAATTTATATTTTAATGAATTCAAATCTTGATTAGTAGGATGACCACATCTGCTATGCCAGTAAGTTTAGAGACACAACATTTTGCAAAAATAAATTTTCCAAAATTAATACATGATGAAAAGGAATCAAGATAATATAATCCCCCAGATTCTCTACCATTCTCCACCTTTTCCTTTGATTGTAAAGCCTGAATTTTATAATTATGTTCATTAAAAACAACCTCACACTTTGTGTATTTGCAAAGTTTATGTATAGAAAGAGTATTCACATTAAAATCAGGAACACCAAAGACATCAAAGAGTGTCAAGTTTTTAGAAAATTGTAGGTTACCGATTTAATTAATTTTTGTAAATGAGTCATTAGGATGGTTTACAAGGAGATTAAGTTTTCAATCATCAATAACACCAAAGAAATCAAAGAGTGTATTTGCAAAGTTTATGTACAGAAAGAATATTCACATTCAAATTAGGAACACCAAAGACATCAAAGAGGGTCAAGTTTTTAGAAAATTGTAGGTTACCGATTTAATTAATTTTTGCAAATGAGCCATTAGGATGGTTTACAAGGAGATTAAGTTTTAAATCATCAACAATATCATGGAGAAGTGACTCAACATAAGTCATATGTTGACTTTCTCCTGAGTCAACAACCCATTTTTGATGATTACTAGTAGAGTTAAAACCTTTAAACATATTTGTACCTTCCACGTTGGCACTATCATATCTATCATTAGTA